ATTAACACTGGAATGCTAGATGTGCAAGAGATTATGTGCAAATAGAGATACTGGGGTGCAAAAGAGCAAAATAAATAACAATATAGGGATGAGGTAGTTGGGTGGGCTAATTTCAGATGGGCTGTGTACAGGTGCAGTGATCGGTAAGGTGCTCTGACAACTGATGCTTAAAGTTATTGAGGGAGATAAGAGTCTCCAGCTTCAGAGATTTTTGCAATTCGTTCCAGTCATTGGCAGCAGAGAACTGGAAGGAATGGCGGCCAGAGGAGGTGTTGGCTTTGGGAATGACCAGTGAGATATACCTGCTGGAGCGCAGACTACGGGTGGGTGCTGCTATGGTGACCAATGAGCTAAGATAAGGCGGGGATTTGCCTAGCAGTCTCATTACGCACACCTCGTTCCCATTCCCCCTGATTAGTATGTGTACATATAGTATGTGTACATAGTATGTGTCGCGCTGGATAAGAGCGTCTGCTAAATGACTGTAATGTAATTGTGCACTTGTTATAACGGGTCTCGTCCGAGGTTTACACCTCGCTCTTTTGTTTGGGTTACAGCCCTGTTTATATATATATATATATACGTGTTTGTTTTGGGCTTCGTCCACGTCGTTTTCTATGATGTACCTTATGTTGGGTTGATTAATAAAAAAAACTATTACGTATTCCTGCGCCTGTCTTCTATCAGTATACAACGTGACAATTTTAGGCAATGTTGGAATGATTTCATTGTTTAGCTTACTTTGTGTATTATAAATTAGCTCATGTGCTTTTCTTGACGAGGAGGAGATACTATATAATGTTGTTGGGTCTGTAACCATGTTTGCCAGTGACAGTCTCGTCCCATTCAAATATTTGTTTGCAACAAAAAGTTCAGTAATAGACCCATGTAATTCCAGTTGATATTGCGAGGGTTGTTTTGCAATGTGCTGTCTGTGTTTCAGTATATTGTATATAGAAGTGGATCCTCATGATTGTATTTTCCTTCCTTTTTAGACCACATAGGCCTAATAAAATAATTCAAATGGTAGGCTAACCGTCTCTCTCTCTCTGTGTGTGTGTGTGTGGTGACTTAAAGAAGAGTAAAGTTAAGGCCTCAACATCTTACTGAATTTATTTGAATTTCTGTCTGTGTCCATTTGGAAAGTGCTGAACGAATAAGCCTACCTCGTCACAGCTCGTTTTCTTGCACTTGCTTATACTTAGAGCTAAGTGTTATTGATATAAGAATGAACATTATTAATTGACTGAACATAAATGTAATAATGTTTGTATGGGTTCAAAAGTCAAAACTATTTTTGGCGTTTGTTATTATTGAAGGAGAACATGGTTCTTATCGACTTACACAAATCCACAAGGAGTCAGTAGTAACCACATTTGTTTAAGCAAGTCAGCCATATCAGCTATGGTTTTTAAAAAGGCAGTAAATGAGGCTGAATGAACTGTTTTGCTGCCAGACAAGGCTCCGCTGATAGCCAGGTGTAGCGGTGGTAAGGATTCACTCCATTGTGCTGAAATGAAAGCTCTGCTGTTGGGACAGCTTTATGTAGGCCCTAACAGTTTGTAGGCACCGTTTGTCACCGTTATAGTGTAATTAATGTATTGTTTAGTGTTGTGTTGTGTAGTGGCTTTACTGGCATGCATAAAAAAAATAGTTTGCCCCACCAAGAGTTACATGCTAGAATCGCCACTGATGGCGTATACCTGCGTATAGCCTTCACTACACCAATGGCCCTTTGTGTTTTACAAAAAGTGCATTCTCCTACATGAGTGCGCTGGTATTACGGATTCTGTCCTTTCAGAATCATGAACCTGTCAGACACTGAAGGCCTATAGGTTCGCCACTGCGCAAAAATGTTTATAACATATATAAAGGCTTTTAAGATACTGTCTTAATGTTTCAAGAAAGGAGTGTATATACACTGCTCAAAAAAATAAAGGGAACACTTAAACAACACATCCTAGATCTGAATGAATGAAATAATCTTATTAAATACTTTTTTCTTTACATAGTTGAATGTGCTGACAACAAAATCACACAAAAATTATCAATGGAAATCAAATGTATCAACCCATGGAGGTCTGGATTTGGAGTCACCCTCAAAATTAAAGTGGAAAACCACACTACAGGCTGATCCAACTTTGATGTAACGTCCTTAAAACAAGTCAAAATGAGGCTCAGTAGTGTGTGTGGCCTCCACGTGCCTGTATGACCTCCCTACAACGCCTGGGCATGCTCCTGATGAGGTGGCGGATGGTCTCCTGAGGGATCTCCTCCCAGACCTGGACTAAAGCATCCGCCAACTCCTGGACAGTCTGTCGTGCAACGTGGCGTTGGTGGATGGAGCGAGACATGATGTCCCAGATGTGCTCAATTGGATTCAGGTCTGCGGAACGGGCGGACCAGTCCATAGCATCAATGCCTTCCTCTTGCAGGAACTGCTGACACACTCCAGCCACATGAGGTCTAGCATTGTCTTGCATTAGGAGGAACCCAGGGCCAACCGCACCAGCATATGGTCTCACAAGGGGTCTGAGGATCTCATCTCGGTACCTAATGTCAGTCAGGCTACCTCTGGCGAGCACATGAAGGGCAGTGCGGCCCCCCAAATAAATGCCACCCCACACCATGACTGATCCACCGCCAAACCGGTCATGCTGGAGGATGTTGCAGGCAGCAGAACGTTCTCCACGGCGTCTCCAGACTGTCATGTCTGTCACATGTGCTCAGTGTGAACCTGCTTTCATCTGTGAAGAGCACAGGGCGCCAGTGGCGAATTTGCCAATCTTGGTGTTCTCTGGCAAATGCCAAATGTCCTGCACGGTGTTGGGCTGTAAGCATAACCCCCACCTGTGGACGTCGGGCCCTCATACCACCCTCATGGAGTCTGTTTCTGAACGTTTGAGCAGACACATGCACATTTGTGGCCTGCTGGAGGTCATTTTGCAGGGCTCTGGCAGTGCTCCTCCTGCTCCTCCTTGCACAAAGGCGGAGGTAGCGGTCCTGCTGCTGGGTTGTTGCCCTCCTACGGCCTCCTCCACGTCTCCTGATGTACTGGCCTGTCTCCTGGTAGCGCCTCCATGCTCTGGACACTACGCTGACAGACACAGCAAACCTTCTTGCCACAGCTCGCATTGATGTGCCATCCTGGAAGAGCTGCACTACCTGAGCCACTTGTGTGGGTTGTAGACTCCGTGTCATGCTACCACTAGAGTGAAAGCACCGCCAGCATTCAAAAGTGACCAAAACATCAGCCAGGAAGCATAGGAACTGAGAAGTGGTCTGTGATCACCACCTGCAGAACCACTTCTTTATTGGGGGTGTCTTGCTAATTGCCTATAATTTCCACCTGTTGTCTATTCCATTTGCACAACAGCATGTGAAATGTATTGTCAATCAGTGTTGCTTCCTAAGTGGACAGTTTGATTTCACAGAAGTGTGATTGACTTGGAGTTACATTGTGTTGTTTAAGTGTTACCTTTATTTTTTTGAGCAGTGTATTTGGCCTGGCGAAGTGGTTTTATGCGCTGACTGAATGGAAGCTGATAATTATGAGTTTTTTACTCCGCTGGTCTCGGGAAGAAGACCGCATACAAATGTATCTGACACCGAGACAAGACCGAGACAATATGTGGTCTCGAGACCGGTCTCAAGTACTACAACACTGCTTCAGACAGAATAACTTTTACCCTTTCACCCTCCTCTGCCCTGGAACATTGAAGTGTCTCGTTAAACACTTCAGTGTCAAGAAAAAAAAAACACACTTACTGGAATCATTTGGGAGTTCCTAGAGTTTTTATTGCCAGCTGCCCCTGTACCTTTTGGCATGAGAACACATAACTCCACCTCTCTGTTAACCTGATGGATGGGCCTAATCCTTTGACACAACATACACATGATTTTAAGAAGGGGCACATATGGAAGGGAAAGGCATGAAGCGAAGGGTTTCCATCTGCAGGGGAGTCTGCCGTGCCGGGTCTTACACAACACGGGTCTTACACAACAGCCTTGGAGCTCGTAGCATAGAACTCTATTTGGAAGTTTCACATGTGGATTTTATTATTCTAAAGTGCTGTAGGTTCTGTTGGTATATCATCATCATGACTCAGCAGAACTAGAAGTAAACAGTATAGGCCTACATCCACACCTCAAATTAGTTTAGTTGTTAAAAAAGAGACATCCTCAGATGTACAAGTACACCCCCTTGACAGGACGCTAGTCTGTTGTAGGGCGCTAAAATAACGGGATCCTAATCTTGTCCACCAGCCGGCTCTCTCGCTGCAGTGGCAATTGAGCTTCGGGACGAGGTTATGTTGCAGTCTTTGCGCTGTACTCAATATCTTTAGCATAAGTAAGAGCATTTGGGAAAATCTAATATCAATGTGAGTCAAATGTCTTGAAAAGTTGATAGAGTACTGGCTTGAGAAGGAAAGAATATGATTAAATCAGGAGGTCGGAATAGGATGATAGTGGTGAGTCATCTGGTCTCATCCAGTTGTTACAATGTCAGAATAGTGATAAGGAGATTTGATGAGTTTTAATCTTGATCTAGGGAATAAAACAATTAACAATCCTGCCAATAAAATGGCATGTGAAATTGTGTTGTTATAGATGTTAAAGCCTATGGTTTTGAGAATACAGACCCTGCCTTTTTGCCTGCACAGCCTATATGAACCTGCACAGCACACACTGTTTGTTACTGGTTTATATTAATCAATGTAACATTTAATTCAATACGATGCAGTTAATCCACCATGACATGTATGGTTGGTTGAGGTGTGGAAGGCTATTGAATGAGCCAAACAAGCAGCTAGGTGAATTTGAGAACAGCTGGTGTAATCAATGGGCGAGTTGGTTTTACATCGCCCAGTGCCCTGACTGAATGTTGCAATGGAAAGTGTCTACTCCAAACGGAAAACGTTTTGCAACAAAACAAGAGTTTCTATTCGACAAATTCAGTTAGGTCCCTCCCCGTTTCGTGCTTCGGTTTGGTTCTGTTTGGTTCCTAGTGAATACACCCCAGGGCAGGGCCAGTTTAGCTCGAATCCGCCAACCAGCTGAGAACAAACACAGCTGCCTTCTCATGACGTGACAGGTTTTAATGGTGGTATAAAAAGCTGCAGTTTTCTTTTTCTGCCAACTCGTCTCGAGGTTTCACTATACGGTTTAAGATTATACGTTCATTACAGCGGCATCAACACAAAGGATTTTACCTTGTTTTTTCCTGATCTAACTTTTCGCTATTTTATTCACGGTAAACTTTTAACATGTTCATAGCCCTACTGTCTGTAAATGTTGGTTTACTTATGGAGAATGTAGTACAAAGTTAAATTGATGTTAATGGCTATGCTTTGATACCGTGTTTTTCTTTTCTTGTATCCTGGTTGGTGTAGGCTACAGAGTTTTATTGACCTGTTTTGTTGTCTTGTTTTTCAGAATTTGTAGTATGTTTTTTGGATACATCGTTTTTGAACGTTTTTCTATGGAAGAACAAGGCAACCAAATCATAATTGAAAGTAATTTTGACCAGAGGGACGCCTTTAGAGAATCCTGATCTCTGCCATCACCGTCCTTGGTCACTTGAGTAAAGGTAAAGTAGGCCACATTATCTATAAGAAAAGTTGGATAAAGCTTTTTCGCCTGATCTCTAGATGTAATAATGCATAGCCTAATTTTTATTTAGTAAATAGTAAGTTGAAATGTCTTCAACATTAATATAATTATAATTCACCATTAATATAAATTAACATAGGCTTGTCTGTTATTTTGAAGTTGTGGAGTTAATGCTTTTGTTTTCACGATCACTACATTGTATCCCTGCATGCAGTGTTGGCTGAATAATCACTATCTGATTCAGCATCGCGTAAACCGGGTACAGCTCTTCCTTTGTTGACTCGAGTCATTTGCTTAGTCGTGTGCTACTGACATGGTAACAGGCAGATCCGCCAATGGGGATGTTTCATGGCAGTTCCGCAAATTGAGTAGACCACTGAGCGAGGTCTGAAACAACTGCTTGCCTACAGTTTGAACTAAGCCCCTCCAATTTCCACTTGCTTTGGAGGTAAAAAGCTCCACCAATCTGTCATTATGGCGAAACATCACCATTTCTACAATTTATCTTCTTAAAATCAGGTTTTAAGCATAACCTTTCCCTACACTGCTAACCTAATGCCTACCCCTAACCTTAAATTAAGACATTTTAATTATTAATAAATGTTTATGATATAGCCCATTTTGACTTTGTGGCTGTGGTAACTAGTGACAACCTGCTTGTTGCTATCCTCTCAGCCATCATTGTTTTGGTCTCACATGCTGAGTGCTCATTGGCTATTGGCAGTAGTCCTTGTCCAACTGCGTCGTAGCCCTGCTTAAACTACAAGACGCACAAACAAAATGTCTGAATTTTAGGGACATCCGACAGGAGTCTGGAGAACGGAACAGCCATCATTAGTGTGTCCTTGACCTGCTCAAACTATGCGAGTCCCGACGTACTGATCCTAGCCCAAGTTCATAGGATTTCACCCTGATCGGCAAAACATGGCAACTTCGTGGTGAAATTGTGTAGTGTATCAGCATTAGAATAGTTGAATACACAAGGTGCAAGTTCGAAATTTGGTTGTGCATCAGCAGTTTTCTCATGGTTTGTCGGTCACTCAATTAGCCATTTCAGCTAATAAAAGTTTGATTGGTAAGTTAGTCTAGCCATTTATCTAAACTTGTAGTAATCATGGCTGAATACCGACTCTGCCCAGGGGCCCTGACCTCCAGGCCCCCCCATTTGATTTAGTTAGTTACTCTCAGTCAGATATCATTAACATGGCATAAGTCAGGTAGCCTAGGGGTGAAGAGTGTTGGGCCAGTAACCAAAAGGTCGCTGGTTCGAACCCCCGACCTGACTAGGTGAAAAGTCTGTCGATATGCCCTTGTGCAAGGTACTTAACCCTAATTGTGCCTGTAAGTCACTCTGGATAAGAGCGTCTGCTAAATGACTAAAATGTGTAGAATTGCAGGAAATTTCATTTAAAACTGCAAAAATATCTCTGCTCAATGGTAAAATGTGTAGAACTGCAGAACAATAACTTTAAAACTCACGTATGGCCCCAAAAAGGCTAGAGCTGGCCCTGGCTACCATGGTCTAGTTGGAATTGTTGTGCCAACATACAATTGTGATATGGAAACATGTCAGTGAAATTATGAATATTGCCAATTATTTGAAAAATTGTTAATTTGTCCCTCTCCCTTTTCAGAATTGGGCAGAGTTCCCTTCGTCTTCACCTCATCAGTCTTCTTACATTTTCACATACCATTTATCTGGATAAAATGGTTGGATTCAGACCTGCTGACGTGCCCCCAACCGCTGCTGTGAAGTTTATTGGTGCTGGAACAGCGGCCTGCATTGCTGACCTATTCACCTTTCCCTTGGACACAGCCAAAGTCCGGCTACAGGTAAGCCTATGGATCATGTGTTCTTTGTTGAAATGGACTGGTGGGGTCCTCTATTGTAGCGCCATGAAATGGATCACCCAAGCATTTGCCACCTGGTTTTGTTCAGCAGATGGGGACCCAGGATGGTTGGAACTGGTCATCATTTCTCAAATTAAATCACATGTGAAAGGGCTCATTTGACTGGTCAAATGTGGTGAGCCATCATACTAAAAGGGATGCTTGACATTACTGCTGCATCAATATTTTTACTGGCCATGGGTCCAAATTCTGAAACTTGGTTGGTCCACAAAATGGCACCAAATCCATCACTGACCCCAAAATGTCCCCTTTCATTTCTGGTTAATTGTATTTACCCTTTTTTTTGTTTTTTGCCAACATTAAAACTGACTTGCACCTTCTATTTCCTTCAATTTTGTTCCTCCCGACTTCCTTCCCCAACTAAGCGGCCCAGGAGGTGATGGTAAAGCCGTTGGAATCTGCAGACCCTGGATGTAGCGTCATGGACACTTGTGCCTGGACCCCCGTCCTCCCCATGCTCCCTCCCCAGTGTCTGTTAAGTCTCGCTATGCCCCTTTTGTTCCGCACAGATCCAGGGAGAGGAGAAAGGTACAGCAGTGAGGTATCGGGGCGTGTTTGGTACCATCACCACCATTGTGCGTACAGAGGGGGCCAGGAGCCTCTACAACGGGCTGGTGGCAGGGCTCCAGAGGCAGATGAGCTTCGCCTCCGTCCGTATCGGCCTCTATGACTCTGTCAAGTCATTCTACACCAAAGGCTCAGACCGTGAGTAGGCTACACATCACATACTGTATGCCAACATCGTGACCCTTTTCAAACGATACTCATTCTCTTGAAAGTGGAACTCCCACTGTTCTAACTGCCCCTTTCTCTCTCCAGATGTAGGGATTGGCAGTCGCCTGCTGGCGGGCTGTACCACTGGAGCCATGGCAGTCGCATTAGCCCAACCCACAGATGTGGTGAAGGTCCGCTTCCAGGCACAGGCTAGTTCCTCTGGGCCAAACCGGCGTTACCATGGTACCATGCAGGCCTACAAGACCATCGCCAAGGAAGAGGGCATGCGTGGTCTGTGGAGAGGTGGGTGTTTGCTTGATCACATGGATCATTTGTGCCTTTGTCCAATGTTTTGGTCTGCCAGTATTGCAAATGTTTCCATCCCCACCTTGCAGGTACTGGCCCAAACATTGCCCGCAATGCTATCGTGAACTGCACTGAGCTGGTTACATATGACCTCATCAAGGACGCACTTCTTAAAAACACTCCCCTGACTGGTGAGCCTTTGTCATGACACATATTTAAACCCTCATACTTCTCTCTGGTATTGTGATGCCTCTCCTTAACCCTTTTCATTCGCCCTACAGATGACCTCCCCTGCCACGTCACATCTGCATTCGGTGCAGGATTCTGCACCACTGTGATTGCCTCTCCTGTGGATGTTGTGAAGACGAGATATATGAACTCTGCCCTCGGCCAGTACAGCAGCGCCCTCAACTGTGCTCTTGCCATGGTGACCAAGGAGGGACCTCTTGCTTTCTACAAAGGGTAAGCCATATGTCTTATGAATAAGTGTTTTAGTTGCCTGGAGTCTCCTGGACTGGGTTGCACCAGATGGATTGTTTTGCAGGGCTCGTACACCTTATCGGTCAGTGCTTTGAATATAGCTGTTGCTGCTTGCTTTGTATCATTCAAATTCATGTCTAACAACCTGGTCATTACGCTGAACAAAAACGCAACATGTTAAGTGTTGGTCCCATGTTTCATGAGCTGAAAAAAAAAAAATCACAAATGTTCCATACGCACAAAAAGCTTATTTCTCTCAAATGTTGTGCACAAATTTGCTTACATCCCTATTAGTGAGCATTTCTCCTTTGCAAAGATAATCCATCCATCTGACATGTGGCATATCAAGAAGCAGATTAAACAGCATGATCATTACACAGGTGCACCTTGTGCTGGGGAAAATAAAAGGCCACTTTAAAAGTGCAGTTTTGTCACACAATACAATGCCACAGATGTCTCAAGTTTTGCGGGAGCACGCAATTGGCGTGCTGACTGAAGGAATGTCCACCAGAGCTGTTGCCACAGAATTTAATGTTCATTTCTCTACCATAAACTGCCTCCAACTTTGTTTTAGAGAATATGGCAGTAAGTCCCACCAGCCTCACAATCGCAGATCATGTGTAACCACGCCAGCCCATCCGGTTTCTTCAACTGCTGGATCGTATGAGGGAGGGGTGGGGGGGGGGGCTCCCCAGTGGGTGGACCCCTGCCCAGTGATGTGAAATCCATAGATTAGGGCCTAGTGAATTTATTTCAATTGACTGATTTCCTTGTATGAACTGTAACTCAGTAAAATCCTTGAAATTGTTGCGTTTTAATTTTTGTTCAGTCGTTTATTTCCTCCTCCCCCTCCGGTTAATTGAAGCTTTTGCCTTGATCTGAGTTGTCTCAATTCTCTCCCTACAGGTTCATGCCCTCTTTTCTACGACTGGGCTCGTGGAACGTGGTGATGTTTGTTACATATGAGCAGCTGAAACGTGCCATGATGTCAGCCCGCCAAAACTATGGCACTCCTCTGTAGACCTGGCCATTGGCTGCAGTGGATGGTGATGCTGTGTTGCTCATATTCCATTTAACTATATTTTGTGGCCCTTGTAGTTTCCATTTTAAACCACTTTTCACTCACCTTTCACTGAAGCATATTCCTGAGACTGAAGAGCTTGTCTTTCTATTGTCTTTTTTAAGTGCTTTAACCTTTGACAATAAAATGTATACTTGTAATTACGACTTCTGTCTTTTTTGCTACTAACTTATTCACAGGAATCTTATATATATATATATATATATACCTGCTGGAAAGGAACAATTCTAAAAGTGGGGGTCAAAGGAAGGAGATTTCCAATCCGGTTTAAAATCAGGCTTAATTTTATGGCTGTTTATTCACAAAGCTAGGGCTTGGTTGACCAGGTGTTTCTTCTCAGCGGTGAGCTTCTGAGGAAAGCATGTCAAACTGGATGATGTCTCCTCTGGGAAGGACCCTGGGACAGGCATGCCTTCTCCAGACACCACTTTGCTGTATTTGGAGCTGGGTGGGGTTGGATGGGGAAATGAAACTTTTAGCTAGGTCTCATGACAAGTGATTGAAAATCTGAAGCACAGGGAAGTTCCATTTCTCAGAACGGCATGCACTGTCAGCATTCACAACCTTTACTGGCACTTTCTTTTGCTAAAGATGATTTTTTTGGGGGAAACCTTATTACCATTAGTGAGGAATACCTTTTAATGTCATAAATCATGTAAGAATTGTCCTGTAAGATTTGTTTTACAAATGACAAGTGATCGCAGATCTGGCTTAACAGTCTTAAAACAATCAGGGTGGTGGAGAGTTGTAGTCTGTAGTAACGTTAGCTGATGCCGATGCAGTGAATTTGGCTTATTGGCCTAATCATAAACTAAACCAAGTCAAGAACACCCCCCCCCCCCCCCCCCCCCCCACCACCATCATACAGTAATAGTAAAAGCACTGCACAATGATGGGGATGTTGAGTAGCCTGCCATCTAGTGTCTCAAAATCAACAGCAAATCCAGTCCAAGCCTGTGGGAGGAGGAATTAACTCTGTGGGTTGAAAGAACTCAATGCAGATTTGATGACTAAAGTATTTGGGAGAAATACATTTGAGTGAAACATGCACTCTGCACTTTCCCTCCTGGGTCAGACTTGGACTGTCTCACCTTCTCCAGAGAGATCTGGGCCATATAGACCAGGTCATTGTGTTGCCCTGCAAACCGGGGATGACTCTTCTGCCGCACAATGAACACTATCTGCAGGAATACTGTTGGGTGCATGGAGGAAACGGTCAGATCAAAGAAACACAGACCGACCCCCCCCTGGACTTCCATGGTAGATGTATCCTGATGTCCAGGCTCAGGTGGGATACCTTGTTTCAGACCCTCGTCTCCAAACTTGTATTATGTTGCCTTCTTTCGAGCTTAAAAATAAATAGTGTGGACCTATCATTTTATGTGACTGTCTCTGAAGCTTTTCCCAAGTACCACTGAACTGATAGTCAGGCAGTGGCTACACTACATATTGTTATAACTTCAGCTAGCTACTTACGGTCACTCAAAACATCATAGTCGTCTTGGTGCTGGCATCGGCATGTAGCTGAGCTTCTAGTTAAATCCAATTCTTTGTTTCGAATCCTCATCGCTATATTCCGGTTGAACGTCACTGTGTAGCAAAAGAAAAGCTCCATCTTCAAATTCGTGTTGATGAGAGGAATCACTTGAAGCCATTGCAGTCTTCTATGATATAATGGCGGTCCGCAAACCAACGTTAAAGGTGCATGCCGCCACCTACTGTGCTGGAGTGTGTGGTCAATCACGGTTTACAACATTTCTAAATCCTCCTACCTAACTCAGTACTTCTGAGAAAATTAAAAAGAGCCCTACTAACTTCTAACAGGATCTGGGAGTAACCATGGAGCAACATCCCCTATCACCACAGAAGGGCCGACCTCCAACTCCCTCAAACCACTCTCATCAGCAAGCTTTCCAACTGTCCAACCAAAACCGCTGCCTTGTCTACTAGTATAGTCCCTACAGTCATCTAGAACAGTAGCAGTGGGATGCTCAACCTCACAGCCTTTCAACCTAACCCAATAAGCTAATGACCATTTTTTACGCCGTATATCCAAAGGCATCTCACCTGCCTCCACTGGTTAGGTACATACAGATGTTGATTTAAATGCACCAATACATATCCTTAAAGCTATATACTGGATTCTGTCCAGCTTCTGAAGCCAAGTCTTTGCCGCTGTTCCATAAACTATACACCCGTAATCAATTATCGTCCTGATCAGAGCTCTATAAATATCCATCAACGATTGTCTGTCAGCACCCCATTCATAACCAGAGACCGAGCGCATAAGATTCACCACCTTCTTACACTTTGTTTTAACATTTATGACATGATCTTTCCATGTATATCGCTCATTGAACCATAGACCCAAATATTTGTACTTAGAAAACCTCCCCATAGGCTGTCCATACAGAAACAACTGTATATTATCAGCAACTTTCTTCTTGAGAAGAGCATACAGCAAGACTTCGCCACCAATAATTTAAATCCCCAGTCAATCGACCATCCTTCAACATCCACTATAGCTTGTTGAATAGATTTGATCACGAGAGACATTCCTTCCCCTCTTCCAAATAACTCCATCATCAGCATATAGGGAAGCCCCAATACCCCTACCTACATTCAAAAACACATAGATAATCATAATGTTGAACAAAATAGGACTGATAGCACTGCCTTGAGGAATACCATTGTCAACTCCATAGGCATCAGATAAAATGGGTCCTTTTTTAACTCGAAAAGAGCGATTAAATAAGGCCAAAACCCAGTTATATAATCTCCCACCAATACCTAGTCTTTCCAATTTAATCAGTAGGCCTTCTCTCTACATACTGTCATAAGCCTTTTCAATGTCAGAAAAGACAGTAGCCATTACTTCTTTCATGACCAGAGTTTTTTCAACTTCATTGCTCACCTTTACTAATGCATCCAAATTAGATCTACCTTTACGGAATCCACTTTGACACTGACTCAATAAACCTCTATGTTCCAGGAAATATGACAATCTATTGATTATCATATTTTTCATCAGTTTACACAAGTTAGAGGTCAGTGCTATTGGCCTATAACTATCAGCACATGAAGGGTCCTTACCAGGCTTTACAAAAGGTCATATTACTGCATGTTTCCAACCAGAAGGTATAACCCCCTCACTCCAAATCGTATTAAATAATCCCAGGAGATCATGTATGACCTCATCAGGTAGATGCTTAAACATTACATAGCACAACGGATCATGACCTGGGGCTGTACAGGGAGGGAAAAAAGTATTTGATACCCTGCTGATTTTGTACGTTTGCCCACTGACAAAGACATGATCAGTCTATAATTTTAATGGTAGGTTTATTTGAACAGTGAGAGACAGAATAACAACAAAAAAATCCAGAAAAATGCATGTCAAAAATGTTATAAATTGATTTGCATTTTAATGAGGGAAATAAGTATTTGACCCCTCTGCAAAACATGAATTAGTACTTGGTGGCAAAACCCTTGTTGGCAATCACAGAGGTCAGACGTTTCTTGTAGTTGGCCACCAGGTTTGCACACATCTCAGGAGGGATTTTGTCCCACTCCTCTTTGCAGATCTTCTCCAAGTCATTAAGGTTTCGAGGCTGACGTTTGTGCAACTCGAAACCTACAGCTCCCTCCACAGATTTTCTATGGGATTAAGGTCTGGAGACTGGCTAGGCCACTCCAGGACCATTAATGTGCTTCTTCTTGAGCCACTCCTTTGTTGCGTTGGCCGTGTGTTTTGGGTCATTGTCATGTTGGAATACCCATCCACGACTCATTTTCAATGCCCTGGCTGAGGGAAGGAGGTTCTCACTCAAGATTTGACGGTACATGGCCCCGTCCATCGTCCCTTTGATGCGGTGAAGTTGTCCTGTCCCCTTAGCAGAAAAACACCCCCAAAGCATAATGTTTCCACCTCCATGTTTGACGGTGTGGATGGTGTTCTTGGGGTCATAGGCAGCATTCCTCCTCTTCCAAACACGGCGAGTTGAGTTGATGCCAAAGAGCTCGATTTTGGTCTCATCTGACCACAACACTTTCACCCAGTTCTCCTCTGAATCATTCAGATGTTCATTGGCAAACTTCAGACGGGCCTGTATATGTGCTTTCTTGAGCAGGGGGACCTTGCGGGTGCTGCAGGATTTCAGTCCTTCACAGCGTAGTGTGTTACCAATTGTTTTCTTGGTGACTATGGTCCCAGCTGCCTTGAGATCATTGACAAGATCATCCCGTGTAGTTCTGGGCTGATTCCTCACCGTTCTCATGATCATTGCAACTCCACGAGGTGAGATCTTGCATGGAGCCCCAGGCCGAGGGAGATTGACAGTTATTTTGTGTTTCTTCCATTTGCGATTAATCACACCAACTGTTGTCACCTTCTCACCAAGCTGCTTGGCGATGGTCTTGTAGCCCATTCCAGCCTTGTGTAGATCTACAATCTTGTCCCTGACATCCTTGGAGAGCTCTTTGGTCTTGGCCATGGTGGAGAGTTTGGAATCTGATTGATTGATTGCTTCTGTGGACAGGTGTCTTTTATACAGGTAACAAGCTGAGATTAGGAGCACTCCCTTTAAGAATGTGCTCCTAATCTCAGCTCGTTACCTGTATAAAAGACACCTGGGAGCCAGAAATGTTTCTGATTGAGAGGGGGTCAAATACTTATTTCCCTCATTAAAATGCAAATCAATTTATAACATTTATGACATGCGTTTTTCAGGATTTTTTTTGCTATTCTGTCTATCACTGTTCAAATAAACCTACCATTAAAATGATAGACTGATCATTTCTTTGTCTGTGGGCAAACGTACAAAATCAGCAGGGGAGCAAATACTTTTTTCCCTCACTGTATATCTACAGCACATTAAGGCTGAATGCATCTAGTGTATGGTAAAAACAGCTTCCAATGAAGAGTCAACAGTATCCCTTTTCTTATACACATTAAGGACTTACCTGAGCTCAGGTTGGGTGAAGTGGTGCGGATGAAGCCACTACCAGGGGACCGGACGGGCCTCTGGAGACTCGGATCCTGTGAGCAGAAAGTTGCACCACGCTCCTACTTGGACGAAGTGAATGGATCACTGTACCGCCGTAACGGGGTTGACCTTCGAGTTGCTGAGCCAGCACCTATTCAGAACCCTGATAGTCATA